AACTCATTCAGCTCTGGTAGACACAGAAAATTAGCGAACAGGTACCACCCATGAAAAGGATTGTACCTGATCCTTGTGCTCAGTCTAGCTCTGCCTCTTCAACAAAATGCCCACTGTGTATTCATACAGCGCTAAAGCTGAGTAAAAAAAAAAGAAAAATCCAAATTAACTTCAAATGTCCTCCAGGTGCTGACTAACAAAGACTGGCGAAAACCTCTATATCCTGTAGGTGGAGTCCACAGGGGCAGCCAGTGGATCCCATGAGGTAGGATATGCTCCTATCCTGAGGGAAACATAAGCCCTTAAGAAGCTTGCTGCATGCTCCCTGATCAGAGGAACTAAAATTATCCATTTTCTTTTAAGAGAGTGCAAGGCAAAAGGCTCTTTTATATTATCCCTCTGCCATGCATGCTTATTTGTGGGACTGGCAGTTTTTAAGTAGAGAGAGTAGCATTTGACCAGTTATTTTTATATGGACTGTGCCCTTATAGTTTGCCTCCCACTTCCCTCCCTCAGCTTCACACACCTTATCCTAAATAAAAGACTCAGGAGTCTGGGAGAACTCCATTCAGTTCCAGTCTCTGCTCTCCAATTCAAATAATCAGGTCTCTTAAAGCAACTTGCCACCTCCCCACGAAGAGCTCCCACTCCCATATGCTACTCCAGACAAGGGCCTCCTGTAATTTTTATCCACTACAAATCTCTGGCTCACGTAAATAAAAAACCAAAAATAATAATTTGTATCATTCTCCAGACAGAGTCTGATTATGATTTGGATGAAACTCTGAGAAATATCAAGCTGTTCAGAGGCTATATTTAGCTGGATGGGATCAAATCAAATTAAAAGCAGATAATTTGAAAAGGAGCAAAAAGCTCCAGAAATTCAGTTCATTACCAGTCTCTGGACTCCAGTCCCAAGAGCAGCATGTCCACATTTAAATGGCTAATATCATAGACTGCTAATTGTCTGGCATCACCTATTTTCTTTAGGGATTTGACACAGCCTGGTGAATCTGCCAAACTGTTTGAAAAATTCCCTCATTCAGGGAATTAAAGCCATATTCCTGTACACAGGATCCTGGTAGGGTTATGCTAAAGCTAGTAAAAGCAGAACGAGAAAAAAGAAAAGGTGAATGAGGAGGTGATGTTTTGTCCATGGGACTTTTCCAGTCCTCATGAAGAATGTACAACAAAGCAGTATGTGCTATTTCTAGCCTGTAGTTTATGAATAGGGTCTTCTTTCCTGCTCCTAAGTTTCCTTCATTTTGCAGTCTGTATACTAAAGCATCAGCAAACCTTGTTCCCTTTTCAGTCTGTGTGCAGGCTTGGAGAAGGAGATGCAGTACCAAGGCTGTTGAGCAAACACTAAATTCACACAAATGATGCAAATCACTAATTTGGTGGAAGGCTGGTGCTTGCTTTTGTCGATGGCCAGGCTGGCTCTCAGAGTTGGTTGGCCTACCTCACGTGTCCCATGCAGGCTGCCTGGGAGGGGGTGCCTGCATCCTGCCCAGTTTCCACCTCTTCCAGAAGTCTGACACTGAATGCCCAAATATTCATGCACATAAGTACGTGATTATAGAAATGCTGGTTCGCATGTGAAGAGAATTCTAATAGTTTGTTTCTCAGAATTTATATTTTGTCTGCCTTTGTGTAAGATTTCAAAAGCAGTTTGGCTGAACACACGGAGGTTTTTGTTTGTTTTCTCATTGGGTTGATTTTCTTTTCCAAGAGCTATTTTTCTTTCAATAAATGACAACAAAGAAGAGAACCAAGGCCTATAATGCAGATGATCAGAAAGGATGATATTGTCATCCTGTGTCAAACAGGTTCTGAGCCTCGTGAAATAAAGAGTCCCATTGGGAACGTCAGTGCTTCATCAAGACCAATTAGTGGAGATGCTGCTGCTTATGTTTAAGCTTTAATGACTGGGCAGGACTGCATTTTGGAGTGCCTGACACTGGCATGGAACAAGGCACTGACCTAATTACTCCTCTACAAGAGCAGAAAATGCCTTGTGAATGCCTACTTGGCAAGGAAGTCTCATTAAGGCGAAAGAATTCAACACGAGCACTCCTAGAAACAAAAATTAAAATGATAGGTAACCTGCGGCCATTGGACTCACTTCATGGCTCTGGGAAATGAAGAGAACTGCTATAAGGTGACAGGGGGTATATTTGTACTTTATTTCCTAAATCCATCTTTTTAGTCAATAAGGAGTGTGAGAGAAAGAATGCAAACTTGTATTGTTGGAGAACAGTGAAATATGTTGCCATCCCTGATTTCATGGTTAAATAGTACTTGAATGGCATTCCCATGGTGGCATCGGATGGGAGTTTTGTTAATCTGTTCCTTCAGGGTTTGCAAACTCACCTAGGAGTAAAACGTTTGGTAGACCTAAGGGAAGAGCTGATAATGAGGAGCTTACAGTCTGTAGCCTCTCCTTCTGCCTAAATATGATCTAAAAGCAGACTGTGATTTTCCAGTTCAAGAGTGTTAGTGTATTTACAGTCATAATAGTTTTGTTAAAAGAAAACCAGAAGAGCAAGGGAAAACAGCTCCTCAGATATTTCTTGTCTCCTGAGCAGCTCTGTTCACTGCTGAGTTTTAGTTACTCCTATCGTTTTTACCTTTATATTTCTTCTGCTCTGAAGAGTGCCAGAAAACATCAGAAATTCAAAGTATGTTGCTTAATTGTAATTTATGAGATAAATTGCATGTTATTACTTCTTTTCTTTGACTGGATCAGCGCACACTCCTAAATACTGAAGTCCATTATTCATCCAGGGAGTGGGTGCAGCACAGATATTTACATGTCAGGCTTTGCCCAAAAGGCACATTTTAGGCAAGCTAGCTCTGAAAAGAACATTTGCTTGGTACTGCAAGAACAGGTGGGCGCTCTCTAGGTAAAGAAGGATCTGGTATTTGTGCAGATGTGTTTCTTGAGATGTGCCTTTTTTGATGGTTACCAACTTACCGCAAAATGCTTAGTTGTCTAGCTGGCTTATGAATTGATTGCAGCCCTCAGGATGACTATATGGCCGACACATGGTCTTGACCTGTGTTATTTCTTTGCTCAAGTCTGGGCCTTTACCTTACTCACTCTTGCTTTGCCTATCTTAATGCACAGAATGGCAGAGAGAAATGAGGTTTTCAACAGCTGCACAGAAGAGTACCTACTACCTGCTAAGGTGTAGGGAGCCTGTAGCAGCACTTAAATACTGCAAGATGCATAATGCTACTTAAAGGCTACAGCTTGAGTCTCTGAGCTTGCCTCTCTCCACATAGATCCTTTTTTTCTCAAAAATTGTGACACAACCATTTCCTTCCTGGAGTTCAACGGACAACATGCTCACACAGCAGGTCCCAAACTCAGCTATTTCAAACCTCACTTGTTTCCGAAAGCAAGTAGCTACAGAAATAAATAAATAAATAAAATATGACAGACCTCAGAATTTGGCCCTATATGTTTCCTTCAAAGCAACACTTCTAAACATAATAAAATAGTCAGGAGACAGAGACAGAAAAAGTGAGGGAAATACAAAAGGATAATTGCATTGTTGTACTAGAGCAGATGGTAAAGACAGATACATAGGAATTGCTGTAGTAGAGCTCATTAAAAACTAATTGTCTTATGTAATAATATTTTGTGGTTCTATAGCAGTTATCAGTTAAGGATCTTGGAGCCCTCTGCAGGCTCCACCTCATTCTGTCTGTGCCTTCTGTGATATGCTTATTATATTCTGTCTTTTTTCTATAGGCAGGGAAATAGGTCAGGCAAAATGACTTTTCTGCAATTGTCTGTTTGGTCTGAGTTACATATGGGGCTAGAACTGAGAACAGTTCATTTTTACTTCATCTTACTTCAACCATCATATAAGCTTTACCCCTTTTCTGCTGCTTTCCCCCCAGTCATCTTCTAGAGAAATGTTTCAGTAGAAGAAAACATATCACTCAACTGCTGATGAAATTACTCAAAGTGGTTAGAAAAACCTTTGGAGATCACAGTCTTGGATGGTCCATTGTCAAAACAAAATGATATACTGAGTGGGCATTTGCGGAGATCTCTCTTTTGTTTGGTACTCTTGCATATTTTCATTCTTGGGATGCAGGATGGAAGAGAATATACATGTGTGAAATCTGTAAACTCAAAATTGAGAGTCACTGCATGCGTTGTGAAGATCAGGAATACAACGCAGAATGATTTTTGAAGAATCAGAAGAATAGCTTGAAAGGTAGGATGCAGTTCAACAGAGCCATGTGCAAATCACCAAATTCAGTCTGGACTGATGAAGTACCCAAATCCATGATGGGGAGCAAATAGAAAGGGTAGAAAAAGGGACCTAGAAAAAGGGGCCTAGGCACCATTATCAATTCTTAGTAGCAACCCCCTAATCATCAGTCTACAGTTTTTCCAAAACAGTAATGATATCTTGTAAAAAGCAAACATCTGGAATGTATAAAATGTGTAGCCTGTGAGATACATGAAGTAATTGTTTTGATTCTTCTGAGAATTAGTAAAAACTCTTTTGAAGTTTTGAATAGTACTCTTCAAGAAAGATATGAACCAAGTGGAGAGAATTCAGAGGATGTCAGTGAAAAAAATAATGTCTAGAAAATTTGTCTCACAGAGAAAAGTTAGAATAAACTGGAGGTAGTCTGTCTGAAAGCAAATAAGAGTCTGCAAATACATAAGGGTGGACAGTACTATGTGTGTAGTGGGCAGGAAAGACAGATATCAGATCAAATTTTTAACAATAATAAGTAGTAGACCTAACACGCATTCCACATTTCCCTGTACTGTGAGTGGAGATGAAGTAGCTGAACTTTTTGTAACTTCTGCTTTTGCTGATTTGAAATATCTCAATGCTAGTGTCCATGCTGGTAGTTAGGTGTACTCTTTGAGCAGTTGACTCTATTTACTTGAAGAGGGTAGTCGTAAGGATACTGGACAAGCAAGACATACTAACTTGCTATGTTTTAATTTGTTTTGCTATCAGGTGAAACTGGGAGGAGAAGCCCCAAACTCCAGTGTAATCCACATAGCCAAGGGCAGCGATGGCAGCAGTAGCAGCTGGAAGAGTGTCGGTAGCAAGTGTGGAGCCAAATGCCACCTTCTGGATTTTGCCAACTCTGAGCGGCCACTTGTGGTCAACTTTGGTTCCGCTACCTGACCACCTTTCACAAGCCAGCTGTCAGCCTTCAGCAAGCTGGTGGAGGAGTTCTCTGGTGTGGCTGACTTTCTGTTGGTCTACATCGATGAGGCTCATCCATCAGATGGCTGGGCTGCCCCTGGCATCTCTTCCTCTTCATTTGAAGTTAAGAAACACAGGAATCAGGAAGACCGATGTGCAGCCGCTCATCAGCTCCTAGAGCACTTTTCCTTGCCACCTCAGTGCCAAGTGGTGGCTGACTGCATGGACAATAATGCCAATGTGGCCTATGGGGTTTCATTTGAGCGAGTATGCATTGTACAGAGACAAAAAATTGCCTACTTGGGAGGCAAAGGCCCGTTTTTCTACAATCTGCAGGAGGTTCGGCTTTGGCTGGAACAAAACTTCAGCAAAAGATGAAATCCACTCTCTACAGAAGCTGTGTCAACAGATGTGCCCCTTTAAGGTGATGTAAAAGGGAAAAAAAGCAAACATATGCTGTTTTGAATAAGGCCTTTCAGAGGATTGCAGGAGAACGCATTTGATAACAAGATCAAATGAATGTTAACTAGGACAAAACAAAACAAAAACCTAACTACACAGAAACGTTATTGTGGGAAAAAAATCCCACTCCTGCGCTTGCTACAGAACAGAAGAGGTGAAGAGGCTTCTGCATAAAGGTGTTGCTGGTGAGCAGGAAGAGTGGTGAGATAAGACCTGTCTCCCCATAATCTGTCTTATGAAGTGTCGGCCCTAGGGTGAGCCAGAAGTGTTGCTGCTTGGAAGGCAATCCGTGGAAAACCAATGCTGTGCATTTCATCAGAAACTTTTCATTACCTTCTTGCAAGTGACCTGGGAGGAGCCAGGGGGCTTGCAACTATTTTGCATAGAAATGCAGTGGAGTGTGGCAACTGTCCTCTCTCGGTAGAGATTTTACTGTCCAGGGGCTACAGGAACCACCATGCAACGCATCCTGCAGGCAGACTGGCTGCCAAGACCAAGATGAAACATTGTATGTTGAAATTTGTACTCTCTATGGACGCCTTTGTGTATCTTATTAACTATGTAATTCTATCTATATGTTTGTACTCAGTATACAGGCCTGTGCCTGTTGAGAAAGACGTTAAAATCTATGGAGTTGGACCAAAAAGACAAAGGTGATCAAATAAGCCAGTTACAATTTGAAAACTAAAAAACCTGGACTATTTGTTACAAAACAGTGGGAAACATCTAAAGCATGCATCATGAGACAAAGCTCAGCTGATGCTAACCAACCCTCAGTTCTCAGAGCTGACGACACACATTTATTAATATTCTCTGGTTCTCTTTGCTTCTTTACCCACCTCAAAATCCTGTCTAGCAATAGGCTTAAATGTAATTTCATTTTTAGCTTTTTAAAAAATAACTTATTTCTCTCTTTTATTTTTATTTGAGGTAATGACCTTACAGATGTATTTTGGGGACAGGGGAACTTATGCACAACTTTACCTCATTGAAATGGAAACCTAGACTGTCCTTTACCCTGTTAATTGTAGTCATGCTGATTTTTGCTATCTTAGATACCTGCAACTAGTTTATAGCTGAATCAGTTTGTTTGGAAGTTCAGTTGTTTGCAGCTTTAGAACTGATTAGCTGCAGTTCTGCTCTCAGATGAGTCTGTTTGTTTCACTCATGTTCTCAAAAGCCTTCCCAGAGATACAGGGAGGACAAATAGTGTGAATTAATGTGAATAAATGTAAAAGATGGCAGAATTTTCATGCAAATGGGTCTGAGGAATTATTATGTTTAAAGAGATACTATCAACTTAGGGTATACATTAAGTTTAGGTATTTCTAAAAGTAAAATGATTGAATCAAGCCTGATGAAAAGGCAAGTTTACAATGAGCTAACCCGTTAGAGCTGATAGATGAAAACCCCTAAGGAGATGGACTATCCAATTTTTCTCTCAACTTGGGCAGAAACATGAAACAGATAAACAAGGATTAAGTGGCAAAAATCAAACTAGTCCTTTTAATTTCTTATCCTGCCAGTTGTCAGGAATGTGATGTATTAATACTAACATAGGAAAGAATAGAAAATACATACATAAATATTTTCATTCTCACAATATCTTTTTAATATTGCGTATTTCTTCTTGCTTGGCTGTTGGTCAACTTAGCCAATGAACATTTGGAAATGTGTTTTCAAGCACAGATCTTAAATAATGACAGTGATTTCTCCCACATTCACATACATGCTTCCCTTCCTTTTCACATTTTCCTCAACACACAGTTAAACATATACACACACACTCTTACACAGTTTGGTAATGTGTATCAGAGAAAGGTGTAAAGAACAGTCTTCAGACCTTCTGGTGAGCCCCACTTCCCAGAAGGTATGTGTCTGTATGCATGGGTATATGTATGTATGCATTTATGTATGCATATATATATCTCTCATAATTTTTTATGTATGTGCATACATACGCATGCCCCACAGTGGTGCCTAAGACCAATAATAACAATTATTCTGTCCTCCCATTCATTAATGTTACTGTAACTCATTGCTCAGTGTGGAAGATTGTTATACATTTGCATGAGTAACTGGATTGCACAGCTGAAATTTTTAAACCTAATATCATAGAAACAGTAACATAGTTAAACTGCATGGTTTATTTAATCCAGTGTCCTACCTCTGACTGTATCAGATGCTTCAGGGGAAGGTGCAATACTTTCTTCTGGATTTTTCATTAGCTTCAGCCCTTATATTTTTGTCTAATGTCATTGTTGATGTCTCATCATCCCTATGAGATGCTGATCCTAAGGTTTGAGATATAAATAGTTCTTGAGGTGGAGAATGCTAAAATAAAAACCCATTATGTTTAAGAACAAAGAAAAACAAATAAAACCAGATTTTTTTTTTCAGATTTAAATTGACTGCTTTTCAATGTCATTCTCATCTCTTGCTCTTATATGCTAAACCAGTATAAACAGGAGTGATCCCAATTTTTCTTCTGTATGTCAGCAATTATATACTCCATATCAAAAAGTACATACTTTTTGTTTGCTTCTTAAGCCAGACAAAAATTCACATTCTTATACAGGTCCATACTCTTTGTCTGTCTCTGATTCCATTCTGGTTTTATTACACTGTCCTTTTACTCAGGTGAGTAAAGATCTGGATACTACTCCAAGTGAAAATACGTATTGATACACCCAGCACAATATATTTTTCTTATGATATACTATTCTTCAGTCACCTGAAACCTTATTAATGCATAACAATCCATAACAACTCATAGTTTTTGTAAAACTTAAACTAGTAAGTCTTTTTCTTTCTTTTTTTTCCCATCACACAGTTGAAGTTTGACCTGTTTGTCTGGGAAATGCTAGCCAAATGTTTAGCACAGCTGTTGAAACATACCTTTAGCTAAGGGGAGACAGTCTCAGTTAGTAATTCAGTTGGTTAATACCCCTTCGCGTATCTAAAGTATTTTTCAAGTCCATTTTCTCTTTTTGAATTTCCATTATTTTTTCATGTTTTTCATAGATGTTTGTTAATCACACAGGATAAAGGAATTATAAAATCTGCTCCTGTAAATGGGAAATCCACAGTGATTTTCCACAAGAAAAAAACACAATAACTGTATTTCTTTCTTGGCAACATGAATGCCTTACCCTGCCCAAAACTTAAAGATAGTTCATTCCAACTGATTGTCAAGCAGAAATATATTCTGCAAATCCTTAAATTTGTCGAGAAAATTTATGGTCAAAAGCGGGAAAAGTATTTCAAAGAAAAATGGGCTTTGACAAAATATCTTTTGTAAGTGGCTGATAGAAATAAAAGCCCTTTGTTTTATTTTTCTGGTTGACAAAATCAAAATATTTTATAGAAAAAGTTTTAAAGTAAACTTCATGTGTTGTCCTCAGTTAATGATAGAAACTGCTGTGTGTCGGATACCCCAAATTATTGTAACAGTGAGTTGTTTTGAGTCCAGGCAGAAATTTTGCTGTCTTGCTAGCATTGTACTTAACTCTTGTCCTAGTCTGCTGTGAGGCTGGATTTGCTTTTGTGTTGTTATTCTCACTTTTCAGGACACTAAAACCATATTACTCGAGGTGCTTCAGTGTGACATACATATTGAGCAATAGCTCACAAAATAGCTGCCTGAAAGTATTCTGGAAGGCCATTGTAATAGAAACCCTAATACTGTGTCTCAACATTAGTATGGGAAACTTTGAGTACTTTTGCATTTTGAGCAAGGTAAAAAGCTATTGTGTGCTATCATTCTACACTGTTCTGTGCTTAGCATCATTATTTAGCACTGTATAAAATGAATGTAAAACATTTTGTACAGATGAAAACGATAACATTTTGCTCTTGCTTGTGTAGACAATGACATAGATTTAAGCCAGCAGGAAAACATGTCCTGTCTATTAAAAAGAAAGAAATATATTATAAAATACACTGTTGAACAACTGTCTGAACACTTTAGAAAAAAAAATGATCATTTTTATGAAGGTGATCTTGGTGGGGAAGCCCACAAAGCTTCTCAAAAAGCTATCAGTGCTATGCGTTCAGGTGTGTGTGGGGAAAGTGGTTTTTCTGTAATGTGGAGTGTAGGTTTCTGTATGTGTGAAAGTGGCTTTTCTGTGATGTGGAGTGTAGGTTTAAGAGTTTTAAAGACTTTCATTCAGTACTATAACCAAAGCAATAAGAGGTATCAGGTAGGGAATATTGGCCAGTTTTGTTCAACTCTACACCAGTCTATGCTGGATCCATATTCAGTGACCTTTGGGCCCAATTTGGAGGCTTTAGAGAAGAGACACTCTGGTGAGACAATGAATGCTTGTGTGCTTATGAAGATCGCTAACGAAAGAGTAATTAGCTCAGTTGGCGTTCAGATGCCCTCACATTGGCGTTCCTCTGTGCACCTTAATGTTTCTGTATTTGAAAGAAGGGTCTCTTTGGGACTCCTAGTAAGATCACTGGGATGTACATGCCTGTGTGTACTGACTGTGTGTCATTGTTTAAATGTCAAAAATACACTTTGCAGAAGAGCCAGAAAAATTTTGTTACAATATGGTGCTCCATGAAATGTGCTTTCTAGATTTGTTTTCTTGTATTGCAATAAACTATAAAGGAAAATATACCTCTTCTGTGTCTTCTTATTCTAATATTGATTATTAATATGCATTGGAATATTGACATTAGATCAAGGAAACTTAGAATTGTATTAAGCACAATAGTCTGTGCCATCCTGACTAGATCTTAAGCAATATGAGCAAATCTCATTAAAAATGGTGGGATTAAATGTTGGTTAAAGATTTTGACCACAGACAAATCAACTTCAGCTAAATTGAATATAATTTTCATGGTTTGATATATTATTTGACTCACTGTATATGCCTGTGTACTTCTAATGTTCACGTTAGTGAATCCACTGGCATAAATGTGTCTCACAGAGGTAATGTGAAGTAAATGAA